TGGGTGGCCGGAAAAGATTACTGTCTCTCCAGTAGGTAGTTGGCGCCTTTTAGTTCCGTTCCATATGCTTTTGCAGATTCCCAACACTCCTATTCTGTACCTTCTCATTTCAGCAGCTATCTGGGCAGCCTTTCCAGTTTCATACATGGTACGACCATTCCAGGTACCCATCCTTAGTTTTGCTTTCATTGAAAGAAGGCATATCGGCTGACTGGCTTCCTGAAGGCTTTCACCAGCCTGCGTCATTTCACTTCCCTGATTCCAGAGAAAATTAAGGCTATTGCTTATGTTTTTAGAATTTTTAATATATTTATTCGTTGAAGTTTCTGTAGCGATTTGGTTGCTTTACGGGAGTGGAGTTGCTAGTACCACTCCCTAACCCTCCCTTTTTATCCAGGCTTGGGACAGGCTAGAAAACTAGGAAGCTAGTAATCTGGCGAGCCTATAAAACTCAAGTTTCAAAGTCTTGTCATTACAATTGATATGATTATGAACAATAATGAGTTTCGTTTGAAGCGTCATCCAGTCAATAATACTGTCACTCCACTGTGAGAAACATCTAATAAACAAACTAATATGGAATTACTTACTAGCACAGTGCCTAAGTTTTACACATATACTGCAAGTCTACTTTGTTACTTGTACATTTTTATCTCTATTTCCAGCGTTCATTATTCGATCCTTGATACGAAAGAGTCCTGGGATCTTCTTACCCATTTACTACAAATACACGAATGTACAGTCTAGTTGACAACTTCGTCGCCACTGCCGTCATTTTACTCACTTTAAAAGAAGTACATAGCTTCTGTATAATATACAACACCTATGCAAGAACTGCAGTGTTTTGTATTTTAATATCACATTGCTTGAGTAAGATGCATGTGCTTTAAATTAGTGGCTAAATAGAAAATCATTTCAGCCTCGACTAATTTTGGAATTCCTTCTGAAAAAGAAACATTTGTTTATTGCTATTCTTCATCGTTCTATTTCTTTTACATTTCTTTTCTGGACACCTGTTTCGTGTTAGTTCGAGACTCTTCTACAATACTTGTCTAACAACAGAGTTCGAACTCAGGACCTTTCAGTTACTAGCCAAGTGGGTCTACTATTTAGTCATTGGGACCCGATTCACTGACTAGCCCATGAATTCCATCTTGTACCCTTAATTGATTTTAGCATGACTGGTCCCAGCCAATGTCATCGGCGAGTATTTGTCGTCACTCGATGGACCCCAGCGATCATGACTTTTCATCAGAACCTCAGGAAAATCGATCTAACCATTGAATTGGTTTCTGGTGGCGTAGTTGTCTACTAGCTCGTTGTGTAACTGAATGGTGCTGAGTTTGAACAACGGTGGTGGGTTCCAAATGCTGAAACAAGGACGAAACTGTTGTCTTGTATTCCCTGGGCTTCATTGTTTGTCCAACTGATATCAGTCGATGTTCAAACATGATTGAAGGTCTTGAAGTTTTAGTCGTAGTGTTGATGTTGTTTTTGTGGGTTTAGTCTGTTGGCCACAAATCTTACATTCCCTATATTCAGCACGACCACTCAATTTAGTTAGGTTCAAGTGTGTACCGGTCAAAACCTTGCACTTGTATAAATAACAATAATAATTAATAATAATACTAATGATATAAGCTATGAAATCTCTACATTCCTTGGTAACATTCAACGGACAGTGAGGCATTCAGTTTTACATGTGACTTGACTCACAAACTATCACACAGATATATGCTCATCATATGCAATTTCGAAGATGGCGTATTCCCAACAGTCTTTCAGATCACGAAATTCACCTGTCAACTCAAAAGAAAAAAACAGTGTTTGTTCTATTCAACGACTTCATTTTTAAAGCTAACTGTAGGGTCGTATTGTGGTGAGAGCAGCCTGCTAGCCAATTGGTTGACATTATTCTACGTCAATGTCTTGGTCACTAATATGGGCCGTGAGAAAATATGAACAGGGCTGTTTCAACAACCAATCACAGCAAACTTAAACGTGGGCAGATAGATGGGACTATTTTTCGAGGAACTCAAAAACAACCAATCAGAAGACTGCGTTTGTCTACTTGACTAGCCTATAATAATGTTTGTGAAATGTATATAAATACGTGTTGATTTTCGTAATGAAACAATCTGTTGCCAGGCCCTTGTCTTCTGTTGTTACAGTATTAGTATCGCTCAGCACACATATTATGTTAAGAATAAAGATAATTAAAGTGATGTGCTACTTAAGGGAGTACGGTTGAAGTGAATGAATTACAAAACTCTTAAAGATTATGCAGTATGTGAACTTATATGAAGATTCTAAAATCTGAGGTCAAGTGTTGTTCTAAAAAAAAAGCAGTACGATGATGATAGCAGTAGAGACGGAGAAGGTGAATTGAAGTAAAATGAATAGAATAAAATACGAGAACACTACAATTCCCAAGGTGAGGAATGGTTTAAGAAAACGTCTTTGAAAACATAACTTAGCTTTTTGTCCATGTTTGCCTAGAGCTTCGGTTGTGCATCACAGAAAAAAATGTAAGATTTTCAAGTTGGTCCTGTAAAAAACCGGGAAAGATAAATCAGTGGGGTTGAATTACATGACTCCAGATAGTGTCCACAGATTGAAGACTTTCTTGCATTTGCTCAACTTTGGTTAAACAAACCAAGACGCGCTCAGCCACACGTTTACGGAAAACACGTTGTCAAGGAACTTAACCCTTGAGTTCCTATGATTTACAAAGACGCTCAGAATCGACAACTACTAAGTGTGATTATCGACGTGAACTCCAAAGCACAAGGACTTGTAATAAGAAAATATATTCTTCAACGGTTAAATCTGATATATCATACACAATCTATGAACAACTGTTTTACAAATAATATATGTAACCCTTTTATTCGTATTATTCCGCCTTCTTTCAGCTTCTACACGATTGAATCATTCGCGCTTTCGAGTTCCCCGCGAATGGCCACCGAGGTAAATGAACCAACGTTCAGTGTTCATATTCTGTAACGCACACCTACAACAAAAAAGGGTACATCCCTGATTTGCATAGCGCCGATAACCACGAACTGAACTGTCAACGTGAGAACGTGGGCCAACCGGGACAAGGCTAAAATTGAAAAGCAAGACAAAAAAGCCTAACACACAACAAGCAGACTACGTCACACCGGCAAGCTTTTCCCGGCTTGTGGGATCTTCCTTAGTGATCGGAACTTTCCAGCGCTCTCTGTCGACAGCACTAACACTGATCTAATCCACGAGGTGTCGGTTGCTTTATATCACTCTGAATAGCATACACTAACTTTAACACTACTCGATCCGTTTACAAGTTCAGAAGACTATAAACCACCTCAGAAGTACTCACAATAACATTGCACGATGATTCACACAATGCGACAACTATAAAATTAAGCAACAATTTGATGAATTGGAACCTACTGAATTACTTAACACAAATATATGTACAGTCAATACATCAAACGTTAAGGATTCTGCCTTGGTGAGCTACCCTTGAACAACCGTAGGACTTACAGCAGCACGCCTACAACCCTTCTAAGGTTGACGAACTAAGTGAAAATAAATCCGGACACAAACAAAATTAACCAACAGATAGATGAGAGATGATAACAAATCGATATATATACAACATGAACATATGTACAAAACAGCACTCTTAGTACATTGTACCGCTCACTGACGTACTACCCTTGAATACTTGTACGACTTACAGCAGTATGCCTACAGCTCTTCTCAGGTTGACGTCTTTAAGTAAGTTAAATCGTCACAGAGTTCATCTGATGACCTCCATCTAACATCTATATCCTCAATTCTAAATGGTGACACACCCATGACATTGCATCGTGGAATATAAATGACTAACAAACATACGACGTATCTGACCAACCAAACGACGGCAAAGAGTAATTTACTCCAACGATAATAACATTCGAAAAGTAACTTGAAACCTGAAAAGTTTTTATTCATGCAAGTCAGTTTAACAATTACCCTGTCTTACACAGTTAGCTTATCCTCATTAAACTGACCATTGACTTTCGTCCTTTCAAACGGACTGATACTAGCATTGTCATAGCATGAAACACTTGAGTTCATGGACTTCATTTTCATTGTGGACGACAACACCAACGATGACTGAGTGATTCAAGTTGGTGAATTTAACGGTGTATCAGAAGCTGTTGTTGTTCGACTTTTAGAAAGTTGTCTAACCGCAGGATTACCACCACTGCTGTATTTTATGATTAACTGCAGTTAAGCATTAACATCTGTCGATATGTGGACTACACGCTGATCAATAACACTGACCGTCTCACGAGTATCCATATCTTCTGCAACTACATCTGCTCTTAATTCTACTTCACGTTCAAGTTGTACAGAACCTTTGTTCAACTCAGTAGTAGTAGTAGGCATTCCTCTCATTTCATCATGATCAGCCAAAGACAAATGTGCACTATCAAAAACATTGTCACAAGTACTTAGAGAGAAATCATTAACCTGAGCTATAAATATACTAGCCACAGCTTCATATAGTGCAGTTCCATCCATATTGATAGTAGCGCCAACTGGTAATACAAAACGTGTAATTCTTTTGTCGATTTTCAGTTTGTCTTCTATACATTTCAGTGATATTGGCAGTGTAGCTGAACTAGATGCTGTACCCAATGCAGTCAAAAAGGCTTGTAGCATACCTTTGAAAAAGATGTATGGATTTTTACGTAGAATCAGCGCATATAACAATGCTAAGACAATAAATAAATGAATAATTAATCCGACAATAACAGTTGCCATATATAAACCAAGTCCAGTGGCAGTTTTCTTTAAATCTTTTATTGCAATAATTTTAGCAAGTATTAAAAAAAAATCCCGATTGGAGCAAACCACATTACAAGACGAACAACACGCATAATAATGTCTTCAACTACACTGAAAAATTCTAGTAATAATTTGCCTTTTTCACGTAGCTGTCCAACAATTAAACCAAATACAATTTAAAATGTTATAAGACCGAGTATATTTGTTGAATCGACCATTTTTGTTTCTAATACTTCCGTATATGTCGTTACATTTTCACTATTAATCACCTCTGTCTTTGACTTCGTCACATATCGACTTGAAACTTGTTGTGTGCATGCTTGTACAATGTTAGGTGGAAATATGTTTCTGAATAAATCCAAAATAGCATCTAATGTTCCAACTTTAGGCGCTTTACTGAGTGCTCCACTACCACGTTCTTTTTTAATTCCACTATATCCAGGTCGTATTGATGTTACTAAGACAATACCGAGTATAACAGCTGAAAATGTTGTTGTTATATAGTAGGTTAATGTACATGCGCCAACTTTTCCTCCAGCTTTACCACCAAGATTAGCCATACCTGCAATTAAAGTTGATATAACCAATGGTATAATTAACATTTTCAGCATACTCATTAATATTTCACCAGGGAATCCAACAAGTATAATAGTACGTGAACTTATTTCACTTATACTATATCGAATTAATAGACCAATTGATACACCAAGAAATACAGATAATATTGTTAATAATAATTGTATATTCTCTGGTATTTTTAACCATTTTTTTGTTTTTCCTAAACATATATCAGGTGAAGATTCCTCAATGTTTTCAAAAGCCCACAAGTCTTCATAATGAGGATCCATGACTGGTTAAAGTATTTTTTAGTTATTACTAATATTTTCAACTAATATCAACAATTTCCACTTTTGCAATATTATCAGTTTTGTCACGGAAAAATTGACTTTAATAAAGAATATGAAACTTCACATAAATCGACTTCATCATTTTCAAACTCTTTAATAACATCAGTAGATAATTTGGTTTCTTATTCATAAATCCTTAAAGGTTTTATACCTTTACTCTGACTAGTAATACCGTGTAAACTTGTGGAGTTAGAAATGGACTCTGAAACTGTAACTCTCTTCTTCTGCACAAACTGAGGTGTCGTCTGTGACACTCTATTCAGCGATGTCTTACCAGTTGCGACTACAGGCTTCTTCACCGCACCATTATTGTCACACGATTCGTATTCATACCATGATGACGCTGACTTCACACTCAGCTCACCACTAAACTTGCTCACTGCTACACAGTTCGTTTTTGTATGCACTTCTTGCAAACGGACGAAACACGACTGTGTTTGTCTTGCAGCTTGTATCCTATTTGTTGTGGAAGTTACTTGGAAGCTGTCACACTCATTAGGTTTGTATGGATTACTAGACACCATTCACCTTTCTCGATATCCACTTCTCTGAGACACTTTCGTCATAAATGATCGCGTTTTGCTCTCTGATTTCTCTATTCCAGGAGACTTAGTTCAACTTAAAAGGACATATTGAAAGTCAAAATAACAATGAAGATCGTTCAAACCAAATATCAAAGGTAAAAGTATATCTGTTGTTATATTAAAATAAAATTTACTAACTTGATCATCGTTCGTTAGTCTGGGATCATTTTTGGTTGTCAAGTTCGAGAATAGGTAAAGGTAACCAAACTAAGTGTAGGCTGTGAAATACTTGATTATCGTTCGTCAGTATGAGGTCATTTTGGTTGTCATGTTGGGGAATAAGTAAAGGTAACCAAACTAAATGTAGGCTGTGAAATACTTGATCATCATTCGTCAGTCTGGGTCGTTTTTTGTTGTCAAGTTAGCGAACTGGTAAAGATAGTAAAACCAAGTGTAGATTGTTGGATTTTGTCAGTGTGTAGAATTATGAAAGTAGTGTGCGTTTACATAGTGAACTTGCTCACCACATTTGCGTTGATTTTGCTACTTCATGGGGGAGGGTGTTGTAGCCAGGTTAGATTCTGTTTCAGTCCATCATTCCTATTCAGGCAATTTGGATTCCACTTGATATGAAGTGCTTCTGATATTAGACGTTCTTTGTGGTTTCTGAAGTTTTTCTGGATTATTTCAATATTGTCAAAATCAATTTTGTGGCCTGATTCCATAGCATGTAGACCTATGGCTGATGATTTTTGAAGTTTTTCTAGTTCAACCGGATTTCTTGGCGGTCGAAGAGAATCTCTAAGGTGTTCATTTCTTCTGATTTTGTTTTCTCGAGATGTTTGTCCGATGTAGATCGCATCACATTCTGAGCATTTTATTTTATAGACACAATTAGATAGAGAATCTTTGGGGATTTTGTCTTTTATATGGACGAGGTTGTTTTGAAGTGTGTCCGATGTTTTGAAGAAAACTCTAATGTCGAGTTGATGAAGTACTCTTCTGATATCGTCTGATGTCTCTGCTCTATATGGAATGACGACTGTTGAAGGCCATGTTTTCGGGATGCATTTTCGGCCATACTTAATGTCTGTGTTGATTTTGTTGATGAAGTTCGTTGGGTAGTTGTTTTGCTTGAGAGTTTTAGTGATGTTTGAAATTTCTTCTTCTTTTTCTTGATCATCTGTTATCAGGGAGTGTGCAGTTAAATTCGATTCGTCTTCTTTCAACTTCTACACGATTGAATCATTTACGCCTTCGAGTTCCCCGTGAGTGGCTACCAATGCCAATGAATCAACGTTGAATTTTCATATTCCTTAATACACGCCTACAGCATCCAATGTAACCAGCCGTATATGAGCATGCAAATTAATGTCTGCACTACGTCTCCGCCATCTTCAATGTTATCCCCATTGTACTCCTCATTTTTCAGTCAACACTTGACCTAAAATTTTAAAATCTTTACACTAGTTCACTTACTGGAAAATCTTTAAAATTTTTGTAATCCAGCCACTTCAGCTCTACCTTGTCCTTAAAAGAACAACATTTTAATTGTCTTTATTCTTATCATCATATGTGCACTGTTGACAGAGCAATCTCTAGTGAAGCCACTAAATACCTTCTCTTTTTGTAATGTGAATACGACTGTACAGTTAGACTCAAAAGGAAGTCGTTGATAAAAGACACTTATTCTCTGAACAAAACAATGTGTTTATCGCTTTAGGTCCAGAAAATCTCAGGTACACCCTGATTTCTGTTTCTCCAATGAATATTTTATAACAAATACGCGTAAAGCAATTTAAAATAAAATGTATCTGAACACTGGAAACTCACTGAGATGTTTCAGTTGAAACCTGTGTAAACAGTTCAGTTAAGTGCTCTCAACAGATTGCGCTTGAGATGTGAAAAATTATCAGTGGTCATTGAAATCTATGAAGCGAACTTCAGGTCAACTGAAATCACACTACGATTCCCCCTCCCAACACAAAAACGCACACTATATACTGTATAAATACGGTGGATGCTCAAACATTAATCAGTCATTCAGTTGGTGTACTCAGTGAGGATGTCACTGTTGATCTTCGTCACTTTCCTGTTGCTGAACTGTTTGTTGAGCTGCCTCGGTAAGTTGAATGTTGGACAGGTTCGTTATTTCTGTGGTACTTATTTCACTGAAAATTGCTCAGATATTGACTTGGGTAGAGAATATGACCCAAATGTACGAGGTCTGTGTGCAGTTAGTAAACAGACATCGATATGATTTCACCTTCGAATGAAGTGACAGTGGATTTCATGTAAAGTGTTGACGACAAGTGAGGACGTTGGTATGAAATCGTGATGAGCTTAGAAACACTTATTTTGGTGGATGTCATTTATAATTTAGTGAGTGAATGTCGGTGACATATTTGCAATTCATAAATCCCCTTCCGCTCACAAGTGACTAAAATCACTATATTATGTATGTATTAAAACGATCCCCATCATGTTTTTCGTAGTCACTAGACTCAGTAGGCACTGCCGATTTACTACTCAGACGGGTACAACTTCCTTACTTCATTATTGGCTGAAGTCACCAGCTGTAACCTCTATATCTTGCTTCAAAACTGCAAACCAGATAGTTTTGGACAGGACTCATCTCTTCCATTACATGCGAACTGCAGTCTGTTTACACGTGAGCTGAGATTATGAGAAGTTGTAAATGTGTATCGCAGTCGTCCAGCTTTTTCTAACGTATCTGTTCAAACAAATTTCGAATACAATCCAACGAAGTAGAGATTCTTTTGAGTGCCCTTTCGAGTGAATCTTTATGCAGGTATTCTATACCTTACACTTCTATAATCTGTTGTCTCTCCAGTGTCATTTATAGCTTGTCACATGCAAATCGTTGACTAACAATTGATTTCCCTGAAATCACCTCGTCGGTGTACTCACTAAATATATTTTTCTGGTACACGTCCATACACACTCCTACTTGATATACTAGTTATTACATCTTCAAGACATTCCATTCTGAATTGTGCTACACATTGATTCATTTCCCACCTTCTCATAATTCCATCTCGAATTCTTGTCCATTCTGATTTACGTTAAATGCGTTCCCAATAAAGCACCACGATTTTTTGTATATTGAGTATGTGGTCGCTACCACAAGCGATAGGAACAGAATTAATCAGTCATACTTATAGCATCACAATCGACTGAACAATTGTCATGTTCATCTTGTGAATCAATAATGCCACTTTTGCGTATCGTTGCACTCAACAGAATACACCTCATCATTCATTACCTAAACACCTTTTTACTTTCATCCATGGTATCAACAGGAATGATATCCAATGTCAAACAATTCAGTGTTCTCCTAGATGATGTCAATTCAACACTAATGGAATACAGGAAGGCATATAAAGAAAGCCAATCTATACAATGTAAGCATTGTGAATTTATATTGATTAAAATTCATTCTATTTTTCATTGGATCACTTGAACAAGGTTTGCTATTCATTTTTGATCGTTCAGTCACCTAGCAATAGTATACCCTTCTTTTATCTAAGACACACATAATGTTTCTCTTAGTGTACGTGTCCATATGAAAAGCTGGATGATAGTTTGGGAGTAGATACCTCAGTAGGCGTGTGTATAGCAATATCCACCTGATGTATACAGACATCACATCATACACGGAAGAAATTTATCTCAGAATTAAAGACATTCGATATAGGTGAGAACTCAATGGTGTGTCGTTTCCACTGATTATTATTGGCTAAGTTTCACTCGTATTCGTACATGTTTGCTGGCAAATTTATTAATCCATTCAATATCACGATTACTGCCTGTTTCCGTGGAACGCTATGATTAGTGTTGTGCATTGTGGTGATAAGTGAGTGGTAAACTGTTGAATGCAGCACGTTGAATTGTGTAATTTTTCAAATGTCTTCCTTTTGTAGATGCGGTATACAATATGCGCGCTGCTAACGGTGACATGGATGTGGTAAAAGAGCTGTTAAAAGGTGAGATTGTTGATGTGTTGGGTGTGTTTATACGAGATATTGAAGTATTGTTCTGCAAGGTCCAACGTGAACTGGATAAGGAGCATTTCCAACTAGACGCATCACACAGAGTACTCTCGATTTCGCGCAATTCTTCTGATTATTCAAGTTGAACGAAGCAACATCGATGAATGCGAACTGAATTATTAATATGAGATCGCCTTTTATTATTTCACGGATTCCTTTCAACGGAGTAAAACCTTGACAAAACCACTGAGATGCAAATCATCCTGAAGTATTCACCGTCCTTTTGTCAAGATGATATGGTGTAATTGATAGGAACGAAGAATAACATGAGTGAGAAATGATGGCAGCTACGAGGTCATCGGGAGTTAGAGAGACTGACAATTTATAGAGTAACTAGATCAAT